GTGCGGCGGTGCCGCTGTTATTGTCCCGCCTGTGTGCCTCAGCCTCGACATTTGCATGCACAGACCCTGCCCGTAGTCAGAGCCGAAGCCTGGCTAGTCAGTGCATACAGAACCCAGGCAGCCGCCCGCTCCGCTGCAGTGCCAGCAAGGCAGCTCGCGGGGGCGAGGCAAAGCGAGTGTGCGCACGCGTGCATGTGTGTGTGAGTGTTGTGTGTGTGTGTTGTGTGTGTGTGTGTGTGTGTGTGTGTGTGTGTGTGTGTGTGTGTGTGTGTTGCGTGGCCGCGGGTCTCTCTCTCGCCTCACCGATGCTGCGGCCTCGTTCATGCGGTTGAGGATCTTCTGTATCTTGCCCCTCAGTGCGTGGGCCTTCTCGGGGTCATCCTTGAGTTCGCGCTCCCATGACTCCCAGTACAGCAGCTTCTCCAGGGCTGGGGGCGGTTGGGGGCGGTTGGGGAATTGGTTGAGGGCGGGGGCCGAGTGTGGTGAGTGATCGTGTACGATGCACAAACGGCTCGCGAGGCTCTGCGATTTGCAGCCCCGACGGACCGCGGGCGCAACGACGCCATCGCGGCTGGAGAAGTCCGCCCCTCCCTCCCCCTCCCCCCCTTGCTGGACCAATCCCATCAGCCCCTGTAAAACATGCGCCCCCTGATGCAAACCCATCAAACGTGCAAGCGTTGCCTCACAACCCTGTACCCTGAACCCTGAACCCTGGAGCCTCAACCCTGAACCCCGGCCCCCTCACCCCTGGGGTCAAGCTCCCTGAGGATGCGCATGAGGCGCCGCTGGCCGTTGGGGGTGGGGGGCGGGGCCTCGTCAGTGCCCTGCATCTCGGCCGCCTGCGCGTCCAGGACCTGCGGGGGGTGAGGGTCAGGGGTTGGGGTTCAGGGTGAGGCGTTGAGGGAGGTGTACGTGTGTGTGTGCGCGCGTGCGCGCGTGTGTGTGTGTGTGTGTGTTTGCGTGTCGCATGTGGGGTTTGTGGTAACGGCCAAGTGAGGCTGCGAGGGGTGGGGCAGGGTCGGTGGGTGGAGGGGGGTTCAAGTCTGCCAGAATTCCGAGGCAGGGACTGGCAGCGGGCTGGCGCCAAAGAGGCCAACGGTCATGTGCCGCATGTCCCCCTGCAAAGCATGTGATGTGACATCACGTGGGGCACATGACATCACGTGACGTCACACAGTCTGGCGACATCCGTATCTTCTGAACCCTTGGGCACGCCTCGAAGCTGCCCACCTTGTCGTAGGCCCACAGCAGAGTGGAGTAGGCCGCCGCCGCCTCCCTGACAAACGCTATGTCGCCCGACGTAGCACCCGCCGGCCGCGCCGCCGCCGCCGCAGCCGCCGCGAGCTCCCCCTCCCCGTCGCCCTCGCCCACGCGACCGCCGGCCGCGGCCCCGAGCAGCAGGTCGAGCGCCGCCGCCGCGGCCTCCAGCGGCGCGGCGGCCGCGAGCGCGCGCGCCACCAGGCGCCCGGGGATGTCCTGGAAGCCAAACGCGTCGACGAGCCGCGGAGCCTGCCCCGGCCAGTCCGGCAGCTGCTGCAGGTCCGTCGCCTGGCCCCTGCCGCGGGTGCTGTCACCGTCGTCCCCGTCGCCGATCGAGGACACAGCCACGTCAGCAGAGCTGGCCACCGCCGCCTTCAGGTCGATGCCGCGCACGTTGAGGGGGATACGGGCCTCGGGGGCGGCCGCCAGCAGGGCGCGGCGCTGCTCCAGCTCGAGGGCGTTGAACGCGGCCGCCAGCGCCTCTGGCGGTGCTTCGGAGACAAGGTCGCGGAGGGTGGCCGCCGCCGGGGACGCCGCCTGCTGCTGCTGCTGCTGCTGCTCCTGCTGCTGCTGCTCGTCGGCATCGCCGGCTGGAACAGCCTCAGCAGGCTCCGCCGGCGGCGACTCCTGCGAAAGCAGCTGCAGCTGTGGCGCAGACAGTCGTAGCAGGGGTGCGCGTCCGGCGAAGGAGTCAATGGGACATGGATACCGCGGCAGCGGATGGCTACAGAGCCTTGTCGCGCCTGCTTTGACCCCACGCCTGACTGCCGCTGGAAAGCTGGGGCAAAAACAGGCCCCACCGCCCGCCTGATCCCAGCCGGCACACACCAACACTGCGCGACGGCACTCTCAGCCCGCTCGCTGGCTGCATGCACGCCCGCACGACATACGGCGCCCCCCGCCCCGGGCCCCGCCACCGGCCCCACCTGGCTCCTCAGCTGCCCCGTCAGCAGCACCGCCTCGCGCTCCGCGGCCGGCCCAGCCAGGTCAAGCAGCGGCGCCGCTGCCTCCACCACCTCCTCCACCTGCGCCCGCATCCACCCAAAGTCCAGGAAGCGCGGCAGCGGCGCGCCCGCGCCCTCGCCGCCGCCACCCCCTTCTTGCTGCCCCTTCCCCTCCTCCCCGCCCGCCTCGCCGCCGCCGTCAGCACCCGACGCTCCCTCCTGCTGCTGCTGCTGCTCCTGCTGCCAAAAGCTGTAGGGCGGCCCCAGCTCGCGCGCCGCCGCAATGAGGGCGGCCTCCAGCGCGCTGCCCGCAACGTGCTCCGTCCACGCCGCCTCTGCCGCGTCGACCTGCGCCAGCAGCTGCCGCCGCAGCTCCTCCCGGCTGTACCCGACCCGCCGCAGCAGCTTCATGAGCTGCAGCTGCGCCCGCTGCGCGGCGGCGGCGGCGCGTGGCATTGTGAGGGCCAGGTCGTGCTCGCGGCCGCCGGACGCCAGCTGCAGCCGCGACAAAGCATCCAGCTCACCGCCCGCCGCCTGCCCCTGCTGCGTGGCCCCGCTGTCAACGAAATCCGATAGGCTGCCGAGAAGGTCGTCCGCCGCCGCCGCCGCGCCGGCGCCGCCGCGTTTGTCCCGCTTCTGCTTCTGCTGCTGCTGCTGCTGCGCCGCAGCGGCGGCGTCTGCCGCGGCGTCTGTTGTGTGTACGACGTCCCCGAGATCGAGTGGCTCGCCGCCGCTGTCTGTCAAGAAGTCATCCAGGTGGACGTTGAAGGCAAAGGGGCTGCGACGTTTGATTGGGGGCGCGTCAAAGAGGCAGAGAGGGGCGTCGGGGACAGCGTGCACGAGAAACGTCGGCGATGGCGTGGGGTCACTGAGGGCGGAACGGCAGGCAAGGGCTCTGCTGACGCCTAAGCCATCGCTTGAGATTTTCCTCCCCACAGCGGCCGCCGGCCACGGAAAGCGGATGCCCGCTCCCTCCCGCTCGCCGCCTTCAACGCAGCTGCAACCGCCCCAGCGATGGGCCCACTGCTGCGAAGCGTCGCCCATTGCGCTCACGCGAAGGGCCCCGCCATGAGGCGGCCGCTCTCCATGCCCTGCGCCTCCATCTCCTTGAGGGCCAGGATGGCCAGCACACGCTGGCGCCGCACCCTGAACTTGGAGGCCAGGGCCTCGATGGTCCACCTGGGGGTGGAGGCGGGGTCGAGAGAGAGTGTGTGCGTATGTGCGAGTGTGCAAATGTGTGTATGTGTGTATGTGTGCTCGTGTGGGCATGCGCACGTGTGTGTGTGTGTGTGTGTGTGTGTGTGCACGTGAAGGGGCAAGGGGGAGGGGAGAAGCAGCGGCTGAGGAGCCGATGTTGAGAGGGACGAGAAACAAGAAGGCCGGTGCGGCGGTCAACAGCGGCGTTTGACCACGACGACAGCGGCCGCCGCGCCCACGCGCTGCGTCCCCGCCACTGCGTCGGGAGGCCTCTGCCGCGAACCGAAGAGGTGAGGTGCGCGCCTCACCTCTGGGGGTCCTTGCACCTCAGGAGGTACATGATGTTTTTAGAGTGGTCGGAAAGCCGCGAGTCCATGTGCATGTTGGGCAGCTGGTCCCGTCCCGCAATGCTGTAGCGGTACCAGTGCACCTCGTTGGTCTGCTGGTGCCACAGCCACTCCACCGATAGCTCGCCATGCAGCGCCTGCGTCGTGTCGTCGGCGACGCCGCTGCGAGGGTCGCCGATGAGCTGATGCAGGCGGTGAGGCAGGCCGTCATTAGAAGCATCGTAGACGGGTTGCTCTTCCTGAACGTCTTTAGATGAGCCGTTGTCGTCAGCTGCTCCCGCGAACAGTCTTGCTTGCTGCTCGCAGATCGCTGCAGCGCTGCCCACTAGCAGGCGGGGCCCCCGCAGGAGGCCGCGCACAGCTAAGACGTTTATCATTGATTATCCTTCCATTGCGCCTGTTGGTAAACAAAACTCCCCCGGCGGCACGCTGCTGCCACAGATCTACAAGTCCCACAGAATGCACAGCGCGCAAAGTACGTCGAAATAATAACGATGAGTTGGAGAATTGAGCTTACATCGCCCACTCGGCTCCCTGCAAAACTCTCGGCAACGCACAGCGTTCGAGGCTGGCAGCTGCAGTGATACCCTGCAAGCGGCGCACCCAAACCAGACAAGGCGTCCGCCGAGCAGCACCAGCAGGAGAATGCATGACAAAGCTGCTAGTTGCTCTGTGGCAAGGGGCAAGCGCAGGAGGGGTTAGTCAAGGCCTACTGTTGACCGTCCCCTGCAGCTAGGGCAAAGCAAATCACTGACATGGTACCTCACCAAGCCAAGCCCCAGGCTGTTACGAATGCCTTGGAGTCAATTGTCAGTTGCCGATTGTACCACAACAAGCGCCAGCAGCAGTATCGAGCTGATGAGGGAGGCCATCCGGCTACCCTGCAACGCTACGTGCAATCTGTTGGGAACAACACTATGGAGCAAGTTTTACTTGCCAGGATGCCTGTGGGTCACGAGGGGCCAGCAGCAGTAGTCTTGCAACCATCCATTCTCAGGCACAGGGGCCGCCCCCCCCCCTTGCACGCTGTCTGGATCGAAGCCTGCCCTTGAATGTTACTAAATCACGCATGCCTCGGTGCTGGGCTTGGCAGCCTGCCCTTGATGAATTGAATGGGTACCAAGCGTCAGGTCCTGGAAAACGCCTGGCTATGAAACTCGTGGCTTTTGCCGCATCCACGTGAGCGCCCCGCACTTCCGCAAGGGCGACGTCAGGCAGCCGCGCAGGCGCCAACTTCGATGCAGTGAAAAAGGGCCGTCTGATCAAATAGCGCGCGCTCTGACGCCGTTTTGCCAGCGCCGTGCCGCGTTTCAGTGGGCACCGGCGTCGCACGCTCAGTGCCCGTGACGCCGTCCCGCTTCAGTGGTGCGGCCGCACCCTTCACTCTCGAATAAACGGCAACCCAATAATCCCTTGCAATGAGTACCCCTCTGCTAGCAGCGCGCACAGGGCTTGCAGCCACGAGTCTTGCCACCGCGGTCAGGTCAGCTGTCGCCCATCCCGCCGAAATCAGCCTCCCAGCCGCCTATGGGGATGAACCCCGGCACCGCCACCTCTTGCAGTGCATTTGCAGCACCATCCTGTGTTGCCTCCACCTCCTCGTCAAGCTCGATCCGCGGCTGGTCGCCCTGCTCCTGCTCCTGCTCCTGCTGAGCCTGGTCCTGCTGCTGCTGCGGCTGCTGCAGGTGCTGCTGCGCCTGCATGTTGCCGGCCGCCACGCCCATCAGCTCCCGCCTCATCTCAGCCAGCCGCTCCTCCAGGGCCTGCAGGGGCAATGATAAGGTTAGGGTCTCAGGCAGTGAGGCCGATGCGTGTGCCCCAATGGATGGTGACGAAAGTTCAAGACACCCGACCGATGCTGGTTGTACTGTCTCAACATGACAAAGAACCATATTCGGCAGCAGGGCCCTAATGCAGCGGTAGCAGCAGCAGCAGCAGCAGCATCAATTGCAGCGATTGCTGCAGCAGCAGCAGCAGCAGCAGCAGCAGCAGCAACAGGAGCAGCAGCAGCAGGAGCAGCAGCAGCAGCAGCAGCACCAGCAGCAGCAGCACCAGCAGCAGCAGCAGCAGCAGCAGCTGCTGCTGCTGCAGTCCCGCCCACCAACGGAGCACCCAGGCGTCTCACCAGCTCTAGGTCTGTGTGCGTCTCCCCCAGCGCCCTCGCCGCGCCCAGCGCCGCCGCCGCCGCGCCGCCCGCCTCGCGCGCCGCGCGCGCCGCGGGGCTGTCGTCGATGGCCGGCGCCGCTGCGCTGAACTCTGCGAGCAGCAGGCGCACCGAAGCTGTGAGGGCTGTGCGCATGGCTTCCACCTTGTTCTCTAGGGCGACCATGGCGGGGCTCTTGGGGGTCAGGCCTGTGTTACAGGGTGCGTGTGGGTGAGTTGGTGGTTCGGCGGGAGTGTGTGTGCGTGCGTGAGCCGGGTGTTGAGCAGCCGCTTCTTGAAAATGCAGGTTGTTCGCTACCCGCTCTCCGTTGGTGGCGGATCACCAGTGCGCGCGGCGCTCGGGCTGGCCGGCACAGCCAGGACGGGAGACAGCTGCACGTCTTTCCTCCTCCCCAGGGCCTAAAGCGGGGTCGATCCCGCACACTCGCCGCCACCCCTGCCTCCCTCAACCCCCCCGCTTGCCTGCCAGGGGGTTCTTGGTGGGCGACGCGCGCCCCGTGGCTGAGCCCATGTTGCCCAGAGCGGTCAGCTGGTCTGCCAGGTTGTCTAGCACCTTGCGGCACACGTTAACCTGGGGGGCAAGGGGGCGGTTGGGTGGGGTGGGGCGGGGCCGGCGCGGAATGAGGGCCTGAGTGGGCAGCAGGGCCCGCAGGAGAGCATGAGGCGGTTGCGGGTGCGCTGCATTCTGGCCGTTTGAGTGGGGGTCGGTACATCTTGGAATATTATCGTGGGTGAAGGAAGGTAGCATTTGTGTGTGTGTGTGTGTGTGTGTGTGTGTGTGTGTGTGTGTGTGTGTGTGTGTGTGTGTGTGTGAGGAGGGGGCATGCAAGCGGCGGTTGGATGGCGGCTGTGCCAGGCCCCGCGGCTTTGCAGACCCTGCCAGTGCCACGCAGGCGGGAACTGCACTCTGTGCGTGGCTGATGTGGCTGTGCGGG